TGTGTGTATCTGAATTGGAAGGGACCTTATAGGTCATCTAGTCCAACCCCCTGCCCAAGCAGGAGACCCTACACCATTTTTGGCAGTCCAGTCTCTTCTTGAAAGCTCCCAGTGATGAAGCTCCAACAACTTCTGAAGGCAACTTCTGTTCCATTAGTTGATTGCTCTTACTGTCAGAAGATTTCTCCTTATTTCCAGGTTGAATTTGATCAGTTTCCATCCATTATTATTTATCTGGCCTTCAGGTGCTTTGAAAAATAGCTTGACCCACTCTTCTCTCTGGCAGCCCCTCAGATATTTCAAAAATCGTCTCTTTTAAGCCAGTCCTGGCTCCTGCTGATAACATGAATAGAATACTTTATTGTCGTTGTACGTATATACACAGTATACTCATACAACAAAATTCACATAACACCCAGAGACCAGGCCCAACACACATGACAATCTCCAAACAGTCCCCCCACCAAAAATTCCCTGCCCCTAAACCACCCAAGCATCCATACAACGGACCAAGTAATGCTGTCCATCAGCTCACTGACGGTGACCCTTTAGTTCATTGTTGAGTGCAATTATAGCTCTGGGATTAAAAAACTATTCAGAATAGTTTTTAGAAAACTATTCAGATATGGTTATGCCTGATTAAATTTCTTGGCAACAAAAGTTGTTTGCCATCATCTTCTGGGCTATTTTGTTAAAAGTTGGGATTTCTTAGTGGTTTTCCAACAGCGCCTCAAGTAGGTCTGTTTAGCTTTGTCAATATCTGCGAGGGGCAAGCTTGGTGTTACCAAATGCTTGGCATTTGAGAAGTAAAAGAACAACGATTAATACATCAAGAAGCATTCCGTGTTTAAAGCGCACATTTCAAAAATGTGTTTCTGTCATCATTGCAGATAAATACTGGACTTAATCACCCAATGGATCACCAAATCAGATTATTCATTATTCAAGATCAGGCAAAGTTGGCTAACTGCTGAGATGACAACATGAGCTTTGGTGTAACCCTCCTGCTTTTTATAAATTCTGGCCAATAGCTTAAAAATAACTCTTAACCAACATGGTCTCATATAGTCATGAATCTAAAAATTGTTGCTTTGCATACATATAGTCCTTGATTTACATCCATTTGTTTAATGGCTGTTCAAAGTTGTAACTGCACTGAAAAAAAAAATAACTTATGGGCGTTTTCACACTTAAAACCATTGCAGCATTCCACTGGTCACATGATCAAAATTTGGATATCTGGCAACAGGCATATATGTATGAATGTTGCAGTATCTTGGGGTTACATGATCACTTTTTGCGACCTTCTGACAAGCAAAGCCCGATTCATTTAACAGCCGTGTTACTCACTTAACAACTGTAGTGATTCATTTAACAAACCATGGCAAGAAAGGCCTTAAAATGAGACAAATCTCACTTAACAACTGTAGTGCTTAGCAACATCAATTTTGGGCTCTCTTGTGATCATAAGTGAAGGACCACTTGTATAGGAATTGCGATTTTATATATAGAAATTGTTGGGGCACCACATTTTGCTAATTATTAAGCCATGGAGTAAAAACCACAGAGACCAAGTCCAGTTTTATTGCAAGTTGTTAAATATGGTTTCTGGAATCTCACCAGTTAAATAGATATTTAACTGGTGAGATTCCTGAAACCATATTTAACAACTTGTGGTTTAGCGGTATCAATTAATTTAGCTAAATTCAGATATGGGTAGATCTTGACTTATTACTCACTGCTCAGTGGTCTTTCAAAGTTACAACAGACTTCCCGAATAGATACTTACAAACAAATTCTGAAGTTCCAACAGCCCCTCCCTATGATCACATGTCCACATTTTAGGCATTTGCTAACCGGTCCATTTGTAATGCCCTGCAGTCATGTGAGCCAAATCGACAATATTTTTTTGTCAAAACCAGCACTTAAACTTCCAGTTCTCAGCCAAAAAAAAAAAACCTCGTAGCAAACAAAGGATTTACTTAACTGCCACAGATTCACTTAATGCCTGTGGTGATTCACTTAATGACTGGTGCAAAGCTGGGTCGGTCACATGACCTGCTTTACAACCATTGTGACTTACTGTCTAATGGGCAGGCTCCATTATGATTGTAAGTTGAGAACGTACAACTATAATGTATTATGCAGGATTTGATAGGCAAAATGAAATGAAGAACTTGCAATCAATTTTCTAAGGGCACATCACCTTTTGTGAGTCCATATCCTTTGTTGCTGGTGGCAACTGCATCTTGGGAGGGGGAGGGGCCTAATAAAAATCAAAGGGAGGTTGTGACATTGGAAGAAACCTCAAATATCTTTCTAGCGTTTGCAACAAGCACTGTCTTGCGATGTGTCTTATGGTGGTGAAAGTCTCTGCCCCATCATCTTTGTGGTCTCCCAGAGCAAGTGGTTGGTATTCTCTGTGCGCATATGGTTATGGAGAAGCTTCTCTCCGTGTCACTGTTTGCTGCAAAGCAATTGGTATCATAGGGATTATTATTACTTTCATGTCCTGTAGAGCTTGATCATGTCAGCCCTCACAACAGGGAGTTATCATCAATTGTGTGACAACATGATTTATCACTACTGTCCAAAAGGAACAGAAGCAGGGGAAGAAGGAATGGCT